GCAAGTTATTGTATAACAACAGTTTATTTTATACCTTATCAAAAAACAAATTAGCTTACACACACACACACACACACACACAGACACACACACACACACACACACACACACACACACACACACACACACACACACACACACACACACACACACACACACGTTTTTAATGTAAAATAAAGCAAAACCAAATGGTTTGAAGGAAATTAAGTTCCAGTTTTTAACCTTTTTTCTTTTAAAGAAAAATTAACATGTTTGTCTTTTTTGGCAAAAGTCGAGATATTTCTTGGTTTCTCGTGCTTGCTGCAGTTGAAAATACCCTTTTTTAGTTGCAAAATGCATTTAAATAATCAATATTCATGTTAACAACATAAAAATTAGCTTTTTATTTTAGAATTTCTTAATAAGAATAGTTTATTATTAGGCTATATTTGCAAATACAGTAATGTAAAAGCATTTTAAATGTTTAAGATTAATTTAGGCTACTACAAAAATACTGCTTTCATTGTAAAAGAATGTGTGTATTTATTTAACTATTAATATTATACTAATTTTAAAGAGACCTTATGTGATTGACTGCTAGCAAAACAATGTGGATGATGTACCTTTAGCTAGGCAGTAGAAACTTTTCATTTGTCTATTTGCAGTTACTGCACTTTTGAAAGATGCTCAGCCAGATTGCTTGCGTTTCTGCTTGTGCAAGAAAACAACTTGTTGCGTTTGTGCACTCGGGAAATATAACCCATTTAGTTCTCTTCCACTACGCAAGCTTACGAGCGTGCAAGTCTGTGTTGCAAGCTATGTGTGCGCTTAGTGCAAGCGTCCACTGAGCGTGCACAGCCAAGAACTGAAGGCTTTTATACTTGACGTGCTCGCCGTTGTACTATTGGGTGAAAACACAAGCATTTCTCCTGTGAGACTGTCAACTGTACAGATGAATATCGCAAATTAGAAAAGGTTGATCAGTTAAATTATGCTACTGTAAGTAATGTTTATTCAGCAATAGTTCTCCAGTACCGATAGCAGAACCTTTAATGTCAGAGCTTATCGATACTTCTGTCTTTCATAATGTCGCACCGATACTGATAAATTACAGAGTTTCAGTACCCATCTAAAAGCATATCTAAAGTACCATTCCATCACTTGAGCCCTAATTTGTGTGGCTGGAGTTGTAGCCTCTGTTGGGTGTGGCATCCCCGAAGTTCGGTTAAAAGAAATTTTTATGTCACAAACGCCCAACAAAAAACGTGACATGCACAACACTGAGGCCTAGGTTGCCAGGTGTGTGAAACGGACTTGATTTGTGGTTCAAATCCAATCCTGCCTCCAATCTTCAATGTTAATTTCACCCTCATGCTTCATCAGAACATCACAACTCACAAGACAACTTTTCACCTCGACACGGGACATAGATCTCATCACACACCTAATTAGTACCATTGTATTTGAGACTAAAATCAATTTCTGTTTGCATCACAACACGCTGAAAGCAAATGGTCTGTTCTGATACTGTTTTCTGGCACCTTTCTGGACTTTGAATGAGTCTGAAACCTAGCTGTCTTTGAAAGAAGCTTTCCAATTTCATCGAAGATATCTTAATTTGCATTCCGAACACAAAGAAAGGTCTCAGGGGTTTGAAATAACACGAGGGGGAATAATAATACTAATAAAAAAACATTTTGGGTGAATTCGCCCTTTAATAGTACACAATTTAGTCTCTTTTACCTCCAAACTGACTTGGAACAAAACTTTGCCTTTTCGTTTCTCAGCAATTTTTTTATATGCACATGCAGGGCCCTTTAGTGTCATATTTATCCATGACAGGCTTAAAACTGCTGAGGTACTAGCATAAACAAGCAATAAGCAAAACATTGTTTCAATAGCTACTATTGTTAAAAAGCATATCCATATTTAACCCGTATGTATAACCCAATACATATTTATTTAGTCAATACTGCAAACTACCCAAGCTGTCTTAATTACTACATTCACAAGAAATGGGATAAGAGTCATTTGAGACACAACAAGGTTCTATGAAGTCAAATCAATTAGGTGTGAATTTCTCTCTACTCAGACTGGTAAATGACACCATACCAGTATCTTGGAAAAGGCTTACAAAAAGATCATTGACCCCCCTTGAGGTGTTCTGGAAAAACAAGATGGAATATTGCCCATGTTTTGTGGAATCTTGGCTTCATTAATGAAATGTGAATCTCTTTCTATCTAGGAAAAAAAAAGAGCTGACCTGTCATGACCAACAATGGTGTAGCCATGAGATACAAACAACCTGGAAATTTCCCATAAAGTGACCATAATCTAAACATGCAATCTGAGTCTGTGGTTATGCAAGTGCAGCACATTGATAAAGAAGTTAGTGTGTGAGGGGAAACACGAAAAGACTATTGTGATAATGTCAGGAAAGACCATAGCGCTGGAAGATTCAGAGTCCATGAACTTCCAAACAGCTTGCTGTATACAGTGAAAGTAACAACAGTCTTTAGCTCCTCAATTTGTAATGAACTCTCAGTTCCACAAATGCAGATACTCGCAATTAGCACATCAAAACTGTAGCTTATTTCTGCACTTCTCACTTCTAAATAAAAGAACCAATATGGTGTTCATGCAAATCCAAAACCACAGCTTGTGTCAACTTAAAATCTGACAGACCAGCATAAAACAAAACAGATACTCGAATGAATTCAAAATGCCAAAGGATTTTGTAGTCAAATTATGAATCCATTAAAAAATAAGTATCAACTAGGGGTGTGAATCTACACTGGTCTCATGGTTTGGTTATGATGATCATGCCATCAATTTAGTTCAATTCGATATATTGGTGCATCACGGTGCATTGACGATGCTTTCCATCCACAGTTTTATATTTTACTTAGCAATACATGAATTCTTGTACAAAACATTTATAATTTATGAATAAATTTATATTTATATATTATTTATAATACAATTTTGTCCTTTAATACAAGCAGTCAGATATATGAACTGCACCTTTAATTTTTATCTGCTCAAAGAAAACACTCTTCTTAAATGCATCAAGCAAAACTCAAGAACATGCACAAAAAAACACGAGCAGTTATAGCAAATATACTAATGTAAATAATATCCCGCTTGCTTTTTGAGCGTTGTTGAGCGAGTTCTTAAACGCCTGTGATTAATTACGCATTCAACAGAAAGGGCTGCTTTTGGCTCTTGCGCTTTTTAGCAAACAGTGACAGACACAGATGTTAAACGGCCTCAGCGATCAGCTGATCCCCTATAAACAGCAAAGCAGAGGAGAAAGCCCGATCTGCAGACACGCTCGTATCTGGATCCACAAGTATAGTTATTCAGACCCCCTAGTTTTTCTTGATTCCACAATTGCTGAATCCTCATCCTGCAAAATTCCTAATTTGAATGCAAAATAAAACTCGCAAAAATACATATATAATCTCATAAAACATTCATATAATCAAATTATATTTATTTCAGTTTGCAATTAATTGTTTTACAAGACTTACAGACAATGCATACGCAGCACACGTGATGTATTAGAGTATCTCTCATTACATGGGAGTGGGGGAGAAATTATTTTGCAGCCTGTGCAGTGAGCAGATGTGGATGAAGCGCGAGTGATTTACATGTGAAGTCACTGCAAAGATTGGATTAGACATCCTGTGGCACAAATTGTGCTTTTTTTGCATTTGATGCACTTCAGACTAGAGGTCTGCATTCGACCAGAGCATGATCATGCAGATCATGCGGGACCCGACCAGATTTCTGCGGCGCGGGAATTTATTTCCAAATAACTCGCGGGAGCGAGATGATGTCAAATGCTCTAGGGAGTGAAATCTGAGAGAAACTAAGATTGTGGCTAAAATAAGAGTTATACAACCTTCCTTTGGCTTAATCCTTACTGTTTTAGATCTGATCTTGTCTGAGACCAAAATAAAAAAAAGCTTTTTTTTTATAATTTGTGTCATTGTGTAAGATTGCACACCTAACACAGCAGGCTGCCTAATATGGTAAATTATATATATATATATATATATATATATATATATATATATATATATATATATATATATATATATATATATATATAGTCATATTTAATTGCAATAAATATAATAAATAAATAAATAAAATGAAAAATAAATCACAAGAAAAAATTTGTGTAAAACTCGGAAGTCTGGTTAATGTTGTAACAGCCAAAAAAGGAGATAAAACATTATCTCATGATCATGCCAGCAGGTCAAAGCGGCCACAGAGAGTGAGTGAAAAAGAGTTTACAGCTTTTATTTATTCCTAGCTGGGTTCTGATGTACTTCTCTGATGTACTCATAAGCAATGAATTGTGTACGGTTACTGAACCGATACCAAATTGTTTGCGTCTGCATTGAAGAAACAATTAATTAACTCTAAATATTATCTACCTATGAACTTAACCCAAAAAAGCTATTACTGTAAAAAAAAATGTAATGACAAAAAGTCAAAACAAATATTTTTATGTTGCTTTAACTTATCTTAATAAGTTAATCAAATCAAACAAAACTTTTTAAAGTTAAACCAAGTTTCTTGTAGGATACAGATGTTAATTTTTGATGCGATTAATTGAGTAAGAAAGAAAATAAATGCTTGATGGTGAAAGACTTCCAATTTTTGTTTCTTTTGCATTTTTATTACAAGACAAAGTAATATAATAAGAAAAATTCATAAATAAGAAAACAAATGATAAATAGCATAACTTAGTTGTAATAAAAAAAATGCAAGATAAATGCAAGTTGAGATGACAAAAAAGTTGAAGCATCAATAATTTTTTACAGTGTTGTAATCCTCCTTTTCAGATTCAAAAATTGCGCACAAGTAAGCTACATAGCAAATTATACTATACAAACTGGTATAAATCTGCACAGATTTTTTTGCTTTTTAATGTGCAACGAGCATTAGACACTATGACTCCTTTGTTAGTATCCCAATTGAGAGTATTGTGAATTTTTTTAACTCACCTTGGTGGCATGTTTGTGGGCGATCGTGGTTTGAGCGTCTTCTCCTTCTCGTCTTTTTTCTCTCTTGGCTCTCGAAGAGGTCTTTCTCTCGGCCTTCCCTCCTTTTCGTCTCGTTTCAGACGATCCCTGTCCCATTCATCCTTCCTACGTCGGCTGTCCTTCTCCCGTTCCCGTTCTCTCTCCCTCTCTCGCTCTCTCTGTCTGCGCTCCCGTTCACGGTGGTCTCTCTCACGCTCCCGCTCCCTCTCACGGTGCCGCTCACGTGGATCTCGTTCCCGCTCTCGGTCCTGATAAAAACAAAAAAATCTCTATGTTTAGCATTTGAAATGAACACTAGATTCTGATCAAAATACAGCAACTTAAATGTCATTATTTTTGTCAATTAAATACATGTCACTATTATGTAATATAACTTTGGACATCAAAACCTTTGCTCTTAAGTATCAGCTAATATGTAATATATAAACCAAACTGATTCATCTAGTTTGATCCGCAAGTCTCCAGAAAAGACATGATCAGGGATGTAATGACTCAGGGGAATGGGTTGAAAATTGATGCAAGTGTGTGACAATTCCAATCAGTTGGGATTTTAAGTGAATAGATTCATGATAAATGTTTTATGTAACAGCTAACAGTTGTGTGTACTGCCCACTTGATTAACCGTAAAGCTGCTTTGAAACAATTATTGTAAAAAGCACTATATAAATAAACTTGAGTTTAATTGACTTAACGTGTACTAGTGGCAAACAAGAGCAACGATCTCCACCGGTTTTTACCAGTTCAAATTTGTACGTTTAAATGGATGACAGTAAACATGACAAGTAGTGAAGAGAACAAAGCTGACAACAGGTATGTTTCCATCCAATAATGCGAATGAACTTTATGTGTAAAACTAGACTATCTCATAAAAGCCGCGCAAACAAAGCAGCGTTTCCATCCAACTAGTCAAAGCCTACAAAAATTAACTGGCACCAAACACCAACAGTAAAAACTAAATTTGCTGCAGTGGGAGAAGCTGCGTCAATCTTTTCATCTAATAGATGACTTGGCGCCTCAGAACACAATCCTGACACTCAGTAAATGCGCGGTGGCATTTGAAGGTGTCAGACACGAAGCACAGAAGCTCTTGATTCTGGAGGTCATTAACAATATAATAACACTAATACTGAGATGGTTGAGGCATTAAAATGCAAAGAAATAAACAGTAATTTAAGCCTTGCTACATTTGTAATTCCATAAACACATAACCACAATTTATATCATTATAAAGATAATCGTGTTCATATAAACACTATAAATAAAGACTTTTCCCTCAATCCCCGGGTCTGAATGCAGACTCAGTGCAGCAGGTCTCTTGCCCTGTCTAATTTAACCATTAGCCCAGCTGATAATCTAGAGGATTTAGGCAAACACAGCAGCACATTGATGTGTCTAAATGTGAATGGACTCCTGATAAAAGATAAAGTCCACCATTCTCCAATTCTCGTACTGCTCTCCTGACAAAAATGCTTGCAGCACACACAGCTTTGCTGTATAGTCCCTGACAGGGTCGCGGGGAAAAAACATGCAAAAAAAACCTGTGGATCAAGGAAACAAACACATACGACCCTTCATGAACAGCTAAATACTGTGTGCCGTGGGTCCATGGACGCGTCTTACCCAGTCATCAACGTAGGATCTCACAGCTTGGCACTGGCAGGTCTGCCTTGCCTTCGGAAAGCACATGCTCTCATAAATAATTAAGAAGCTGGCTCTTCTTATAGCATAAGAAAACTAGGAATAGTCATGAGAAACCAATTTTGATCCTGCCCCAAAAATCATTTTAAACCCGGAAGCTGAAATTAGCTGACAAAAGCTCAAAAAATTATCCAGTTTTCCCCACAATTAAAGCTAACAGATGCTAACATTGTCCTACCTGATGCTCAATACACACAAATTTGTTCAAATCTCAAAAAAAGTACTCAAGGGTTTTGTGAACCTTAAAGAAATTAATACATAATTTTTGATAGAGTTTGGGGACCTTTTATTTTTTTTTAAAGATGGTGGAATTGGAAATGTTTTACTAGGTGATTAGTAAAAGAGGTGATATTGTATTCTGATGAAAAATACTAAGAAGCCTTTTGGTTTGTTTGTTCACTTGTTTACTTGTTGGTTTATGTTATATCTGACACATGGAAATGTGTACGTACAAGTTAAAATATAACAAAAAGGAATTGGTAAAAAAAGAATAACAACAACAACAACAATAATAATAATAATAATAATAATAATAATAATGAAAATCCAAGAAAAGAAAAGTGGATTTAAATTAAAGATACCGATTTTGTTTGAACAGGGTTTTTCCCTGCATAAAAATGATCTGAAATCGCAGTCACGGTTACCATTAGACCTTATGCAATGCCCAGACACTGGTCACGTATTTAACTACATATAAATGTTAGAATAAAAAAAAATGTTTTACTTGATAAGATTACAAGTTTATTGCAAAATGTGTTTTTTTACCAAGTAGCAAAAATGTCATGATCTAGATACCACCTTCGCCCCAATTTGAACTAGGAAAAAACCTGTTGTTTTCATTTTTTAATTTGACTTGGAATGAAATTGACTTGGACAAAAATGCATTTTAATTGTACAGAGAAAAATGCAGAATTTGAGAAATAATAGACAGATTCTTTTCTAAATTCAGTTTGTTAATAAAAATAGTTTGAAAAAAAATCGTATTATGAGATCAGTATCAGGAATCGCATTGAATCCTTAGTTGTGTGAATCGTTAAATCACTTTAAGAGATGAACAGTCTCAATGTAGGCTTCTATTCCAAAATAAAATTGGTCAGAGAAAGCAATGTTTTGCAGTTTCATTTTTGCAAATTTCATTTCTGCATGTCATTTGAGCTCCCAAAGAGCCAACATGTTTGTTTGTTCTAGAAAAGTTGAGCTTCTGTTTATGTTAGTTGATAAAGGTTTAGCAAGTAAATCAGTTTCTATAAAATGCATTAATTTCTTTATAAATGTTGATTAAATCGTTTGAGTTACTGATCAGAAGAATGTTAAAAGACTTTAAAATGAAATAAAAAAAATATTTTTTAAATATCTCAATCTGCGTACTGAAAATATTTCATCTTATGAGTTTCATGATATATCATTTTGGTTAAACTAACAGTTTAAAGCTTGAATTTAATTGTATTATCTTTTCTTTAAATAGGTTATGTGACAAAAATATTGCTTAAATAAGTATATCCGTTTAATAAATCTGGTTTGTTTAAATGCATCAAAATACATTGCCTATATTCACTGAGAAATGGATATAGTCAATTATGCTGGGCACTGTAGGTCAGCTTCATCGTATTAACTATACTCCTAAGTATTAAGCGAGTTTAGTTTTCAATCTATATTTAATTTAAGTTTGTTTTTAAGTTGTAGCCAAATGATCAAAGTTTAGTTTTTTTGTTTATTAAAATTTATACCCAGAGAGCGGTCCAAACCTTTCAAGAACAAGAGATAGAATAGAATTAATCTGGATTGAAGAGGTATAGTATTTCTATCTTGTTCTACCTTATTAATATTGATCCCCTGAATTCATTTTTCTTCTTTAATTGCCTGGGCAAGAGGGTCAATGTACATGGCAAACATTAGGGGAGAGATGGGTTGACCCTGCCTAGCTCCTTTTTCTAATTTGATCTTTTTGAAAGACAACCATTTATTTTGATCCTAGCCTCTGGGTTAAAATATAAAAATTGAAAGCTTCAAACTGTATCTTCATAGATAAACATATCTATAAACTACATCACTATGTACTCACAGGATAGTAGGGCAGAGGTGTCTCGGTGTACTGCACTCGAAAATTCTCATACTGGCCTCCTCGCCAAAAAGCTTCCATCTCATAATCGTAGTATGGGTCGCCATAAGGATCACTACTGAAGAAACCGATTTTATAAATGTGAAATAAATGGAGAGGAGGTGCAAGTTAATTTATAGTGGTTTAGTTATGGTGGATTTTATGGTACTTACCCATAACCTGGCTCTCTAAACTCCATATCACTGCAATGCAATAAAAAGAGAAACATTTATATATAAACATTTCATTCATGAGTATTTTTAACAATAGGAATCCAAGATAAAATCAACATGAATAATCATGAAACAATGCTACTGTATGTGATTCATCTTTAATTAGCAAAATGCTGCTACAACATCATGACATCTAAAAACTATTCAAAAAGAAAAGGAAAAACAATACTTTAGAAGGAAAATCAGTAGGATTTCCAGTGATCTGTGACTTAAGACAACAAGCGGAAAAGATGACACTGTGATAAATCACTGTTAGGTCATACCCAGCATCTCTGATCTCTCTAGTAATGCGATAACCACCGCGTTCCCTGAAGAAGTCGTTTTCTTTGTCGAAATCTCGATCATCTTCGCCGATGGTCACGGTGAAACGTTTTTCCTCAAAATCTGGCTCCTGCTCTTTACGTATGGTGGCTTTTTTTAACACCTGAACGAAAGCATTTGTTTTTGTAGTTAGATGCATTGAACTCTCCTATTTACCAAGTCTAAGCAGATGACAATGAATTTTTATTTAATGTCACATAAGAAACAAAGGCTACTTTCATGGTAAGAACATTTCATTAATAAATATACAATCAAAAACAACAAACAAATGAATACAGAAATTAGATAATATTTTTAGTGTTAATACATGATAAAAATTGAAAGAATGTCCTTATGACAGTTTATTTTATAAAAAACTCTTCTGCACTCAGGACAGTCCTGTAGAATGTGTTTTACAGTAGGAGGAACTGTGCAGACCAAACACTAAGTAGGGTCTTTACCTTTAAACAAGAAACCAGGAGTTATTCTTGTATGTCCGATACGACATTGGTAAAACCAATTGATCAAATAGAATCTTAAAGGTCTTAAATGTATAAGCAAACTAAATTTACTCGACCGATCTCAGCTGCCCTAAACCAACAGTATTGGTGATTAAACTCACCGGCCACTTTATTAGGTTCACCTTACTAGTACTGGGTAAGACCCACTTTTGCCTTCAGAACTGCCTTAATCCTTTGTAGTGTAGATTCAACAAGGTACTGGAAATATTCCTCAGAGATTTTGTCCCATATTGACATGATAGCATATAGCAGTTGCTGCAGATTTGTTGCATCTATTATGCGAATCTCCCATTCCACCAAATCCTAAAGGTGCTCTATTGGATTGAGACCTGGTGACTGTGGGGGCCATAGGACTACAGTGAACTCATTGTCATGTTCAAGGAAACCAGTCTGAGTTGATTCACGCTTTATGACATGGCGCGTTATCTTGCTGAATGTAGCCATCAGAAGATGGGTACACTGTGGTCATAAAGGGATGGATATGGTCAGCAACAATACTTAAGTAGCCTGTGGAGTTGACACTATGCTCAATTAGTACTAATGGGCCTAAAGTGAGCCAAGAAAATATCCCCCACACCATTACACAACCACTACCACCACCACCAGCCTAAGCCGTTGATACAAGGCAGGATGGACCTATGCTTTCATGTTGTTGACGCCAAATTCTGATTCTACCATCCGAATGTTACAATAGATATCGAGATTCATCAGACCAGGCAATCCAATCTTTTATTGTGGAATTTTGTTGAGCCTGTGTGAATTGTAGCCTCAGTTTCCTGTTCTTAGCTGACAGGAGTGGTACCCGGTGTGGTCTTCTGCTGCTTTAGCCCATCCACCTCAAGACTGGATATGTTGTGCATTCAGAGATGATCTTCTGCATACCTCGGTTGTAACGAGTGGTTATTTGAGTTACTGTTGCCTTTCTGTCAGCTCGAACCAGTCTGGCCATTCCCCTCTGACCTCTGGCATCAACAAGGTATTTGCGCCCACAGAACTGCCGCTCACTGTATATTTTCTCTTTCTCGCCATTCTCTGTAAACCCTAGAAATGGTTGTGCATAAAAATCCCAGTAGATCAGCAGTTTCTGAAATACTCAGACCAGCCTGTCTGGCACCAACAACCATGCCACGTTCAAAGTCACTTAAATCACCTTTCTTCCCCATTCTAATGCTCGGTTTGAACTGCAGCAGATCGTCTTGAACATGTCTACATGCCTAAATGCATCGAGTTGCTGCCATGTGATTGGCTGATTAGAAATTTGCGTTGAGCAGTTGGGCACCTAATAATAATAGAACCTTTAACAGTACCTAATAAAGTGGCCAGTGAGTTTATACATTTATTTTTATGTTAATTCACCAGTACATGTAAGCTTTTTGATCACATTAGTTTTTTTCATCTTACATTAACATACATGTTTACATATTTTCTCATACATGTTTCTCAAACATGCCCAATAAGTTTTTAACTTGCAGTCTTAATGTTAGAATGTCAAGTAGTCAAGTAATAGTTAAGTTTTTTTTCTGGTTCAAAAATCCTTAAAATCAACGTGATTACTCTAATATCAGGTATTCTAATACATTTGTTTAAGCACTGTATATCATCTTAGCTCAGCTAGGAGCTTGTGATCACAAAACCACTGCAGAACACAATACACTCATTTGAATAAAGGAGTTTCCCATGCAAAACTCCTTATTGTATAATATTGCTTAACTAGGACAGGTGCTTTTTAAAATCGATGCAAAAAATAATACATCCAAAAAACTAATGAAAAAGAATGGAGTTGATCATTGTACCTCTTTGGCATGTCTAAGGCCTCGTTCCCAGGCGCTCTCCACTGGAGGATCTAGAGGAGGAGGTGGAGGAGGCAGCTCTTCCACAGCCGGAGCTCCCTATAGAAAAGATTATTCATATGTTCAGTTGCAGCTACAAATTATATCATAAATCCAGCTTTCCAAACAGCGTTTCATCTTATCCTGAATCACTACAGTGAGTCTGCAATAGGCAAGTATATCTGTATTATACTAGCAAAATATATTTTTAATATTTGCTCAATATCTGTGAGAAAATTAGCCGCGGATCCAATGCTCATCCACAGGAAGCATTTAGTTTATTTTTGATAATTGCTAGAGTGCCAAAAGTTTCAAACCGCAGCTTTACCTGCTCCAGACTGATTGAGTATAATTCATTTAAATTACATTTTATATACATGAAAGAATGATTTGATCACTAACTCGCAGAGATTTGCTTGTTTCATTACTAGATTAACAAATTTACTCAAATTGTATTGCCATGCCAGTGGGTAGAGAGAAGTAATATTAAAAAAATATTGTATCATTGGGTCAAAAATCATATAATAATTGTTTTATTATTACTTGTCTCTAGCTGCTGGCAAGACAATAAAATTGAGTAAACCCCCTTTTGAAGGTTCAATTCATGATTCAAATGCAGTTTGTATCAATTTCATTCTTATTCATGATCACAGACATACAGTAAGTGTTCATAAATGAACTAAAGTCACAGGATTTGTGGCAATTTGACTGTGACAGAAATTATTTTCTGTGGTTGAAAATGATTAAATATTGAAGTGGTATCATATATACGCATGCCAACTGCTCTCTTTGGATCAGCAGCAGCATGAATACAGATCTGAATGTTCCAATATAGCTTTAATACATCACTAAATCATTTAGATTGCATTGTATCGAATTTTAATTAAAGCCATTTCAGTTTCAGGTGTCTTCCATATCTTTTTGATAGCTTTTAATGTGCAATTTTGAAATGTAATGTAATTTTATTCCTCAATGCATCTTTTTGTGATATTTTTAATTGCTGTAAAAGAATCTTGAATTCATTGGCACCTTCATGACAAACACAATTCAGAATAACTCAAATACAATCAATACAACAAAATCCACTCAAATAAACAAACGCAAGTTGTTTACATCAGATGTTTTACATTAATATATGATACAAATTTGGAATTATTTAGAAACAAGACAGAGTTGGTAAAATTTTAAGGCAATTAAAAGAGTGAAAAATAATTTAAAATCTTTATTAACATGGCTATTTCATGACCAGATGGTTACCCTAATGAAGGCAAGTGTTTGCTGAAACGCGTAGGTGCTTTTGTAATGTAATATAAGCTTATTAATAAAGGCTTTCAAATAATTTTTTCCACTTTTTTTTTAGTTTCTTGGACATAATTATGCTGTTTATCTTTATGTATCCCTTACCCAATGAGCACTGACACATTAGATACCCCTGAAGCACTTTTTGATTTTAGATTTTTAAGACCAGGTTGGAGTTAGAATGGAGACCAAACTCTTACAACAATTTATACCTGCCAACACTCGTTTTCCTGGGAGTCTCCCGTATTTCAGACCCATCTCCCGTATTGTTCTGTCTCTTGGAAACCTCGGGAATTCCACCGATTTTAGTACAGTCCGGGTAGCTTTTTGGTTAAGTCCCCATGCGCACCGAGCCTCTCTCTCACCACCTCTTCACTTTGTGTGCAACCGCGCACATCCCCCCCCCTCCCCCAACCCCCCCACAATTTTTTTTTTTCCCACTTCGCACACCCCCGGATATAATCTTCTGGATTTTATGATCCAAATGTTGGCAGGTATGTAATAATCAACTTTGCAGCTTTAAGCTTAGTCCAAATTTAAGCTTGATTTTTAACTCAGGAAAAACAAAATAGTGCAATGAAAATTAAAACAGATGGATACCCAGGGGTTAGCAGGCATAAGGGGGTGAGGCCCGCCACCTGCTGCTCCTCCCGGAGGGGCTCCATTTGGAGAGAAGGGGTCTGGCTTGGAGATAAGTGAATAGTTGCCCTTATCATTGACTCCTGGATGGATAAATCTACAGATCATCCCCCATGTGCAGTTACCTGTCAGAAAAACAAGGTAGCTTTTAAAAAAAACAAACTATTTAACATCTTTACAATCTAACTAGATACAATATTAAAACATTACTACTACCAACATTTAAACACCTTGCTTTTACCCAATTATCAGCAAGATGTTTTCAAATAAATTACAATTATACCATTTAGTACAGTCAGTAATAATTTCATACTGTTTTTATATAGGTACAGGCTAGTTATTTAATTCTTATATAAAGGATAATGGAACATTAATTATATATTTACTTTTTTATATAGTAATATGAAACAAAGTGTGCACTTTACAAATATTCTTTACATGCACAGCTGAAGTCAGAATAATTAGCCGCCTGTTAAATTTTAATTCTTTTATAATTTTCCCCATGATGAACAGAGAAAACAGCTTTCTAAACATAACAGTTTTAATAACTGATTTCTTTTATCTTTGCCATGATGACAGTTTCTAATCTTTTACTAGGCATCGTTCAAGATGCTAGTATTCAGCTTAAAGTGCAATTTTAAAGGCTTAAGTAGGTTAATTAGAACAACTAGGCAAGTTATTGTACAACAATGGTTTGTTATGTAGCCAATTGAAAAGAAATATTGCTTAAGGGGGCTAACAATATTGACGTTAAGCGTTCATTTCAGCTAAAACCAAAAACAATACGACTTTCTCTAGAAGAAATAATTTTAGCACAAATACTGTAGAAATTGCCACTTGAGAAATATTTGAAAAATAATAAATATTTACCAGAGGGCTAATAAATTTGCCCTCGATAGTAAACAACATACTTTCTGTAATTTTAATCAAAATCCAAATTAGGATGTAGGATGGATCTCTGATCCATATACGTACATATAGCAACATTTTAAATTATAACTAAGCAGTAATATCAAAGCCCCTATGTGCTGTGAAGAAAGATACGGTATTAAATTACTCCCCCTAGTGTTGTAATTTGGGCATACAGAAAACAAAAGCGCATGCAAATTTCATGCAAATCAAACTTGCACAAAATTCCTTGATGATAACTGGCTTTGTAATACAGCCTTGAGCTATATATAAAAACTTAAGATATGAAAGTATATCAAAGTTAGTTAGATGAGGCATTTAATTTAGAAAGGTTGTTTGTTTACATTAAAGGTTCAGGACACCCTGGAGAACTTTTTTTTATATATTAACAGATTTGTGTGTGTTGAGTCATCAGTTAAGACAATGTTAGCACCTGTCAGCTTTAATTGTGGGGAAAACTGGATAATTTCGAGCTTTTGTCAGCTAATTTCAGCTTCCGGGTTTAAAAATTATTTTTGGGGCGGGATCAAAATCGGCAACGTAGCGAAGTACCGCAAGTGCAATGATGACGCGTCGGTTTCTCATTATAATTCAAAGCTGAGTTTCCTTATCCTATGAGAAGAGCCGACTGCTTAATTATTCATGAGAGCACGACAGCACGTGCTTTCCGAAGGCAAGGCAGACGCAGACCTGCCAGACCAGTGCCAAGCTCAAGCTGTGAAACACGGACCCACGGCACTCAGTAGCCGTTTATGAAGGCACGTATGTGTTTGTTTCCATGATCCACGGGGTTTGTTGCATGTTTTTCCCTGCGATCCTGTCAGGGCCGATCATACAGCAAAGCTGTATGTGTGATGCAAGCATTTTTGTCGGAAGAGCAGCATGAGAATTGGAGAATGGCGGATGTTGTCTTGTATCAGGAGTTCATTCACATTCAGACACATCGCCGTGCTGCTGTGTTTGCCTAAATCCTCCAGATTACCAGCAGGACTAAAAGTTAAAATACACAGGTCAGGAGACCTGCTCCACTGAGTCTGCATTTAGATCTATGATTCAGACGCGGGATTGAGGGAGAAGTCCTCATTTATAGTGTTTATATGAACGATTATCTTTATAATGATATAAATTGTGGTTGTCTGTATATGAAATTACGAATAACAAATGTAGCAGGTCATTAAATTACTGTTTATTTCTTTGCATTTTACCTTTGTAAACTATAAACTCATGCGTCTCCTCACGGTTTGTCTCAATTTGTGAGCTAACAGCCATCAACAGTTGTTCGCTCCCCTTCTCGACTGCTGGCCACGCCCACTCCTGCCCTATGCTCGCGGAGCTCCACGCCCATTAATCATGCATCTTTTGAAAAAATTCTGAAGTAGACTTTAACCGAAAGTGGGGGGTGTCATGGCCCTTTAAACAGTGTAATCATATGTATGACAGGCCTATTTAATTAATTACTTCTTAATCTTGTTTTTATGTGTTGACACAAATCGTTCACCTTAACATTCCCATACATTGTAACAAAACTACCTTTCATGAAAAACCTGCAGATGGGTCGGGGTCTGATCTTTCGATCCATAGGGTCTTTCACCTCTCCTTCTTCAAGATCATCATCCTGAAATAAACAGGAAAGACTTTGGTTACCGATGTGCATTTAATCATTTGGCAGATGAGTTCAAAGTGGTAATAGAAAAATAGAGTGATAGAAGTAATCAAAGCAACTATGGGTGTGTGTATACAGGTTTATATACTGTATTGTACTTTTTGCATTATATACTGCTTTGCATCTGCACAAGTCTAGTTTGCATTCGCTGTGCCCATAGGTGTAACTGTGTTGTTTACAAGCGTTTATTTTTATCTTGTACATTTAGATTATATTATATGTGTAATTGTATTTATTGTAACTTTTTTATACAACTTTTTGAATTAATATTATCTGTTATGCACCTAGGGTCTGAGAGTAACGCAATTTTGATTCTCTGTATGTCCAGTACATGTGGTTGAATTGACAATAAAGCAGACTTTGACTTTGATGTAGTTTACAGCAGTAGTTCCCAAAGTAAGGGTTGGGACCCCCTGGTGGGTCCTGGGACAATGACAGGGGGTCGCTTGGTGATTTCCAAAATCAAATAAATTCTATGAAACAATTAGAATTACCAGATTTTACCCATAACCCACAGAAGAAAAAAAATGCAGTTTTTAATAGTAAAAAACAATAACATGGAAATGAAAAGCAATCAGCCTTTAAATATTTTTTTCATTGGATTGGTGTGTTTATCAATCCTATAAAAATCCAATAGTACATCCATTTGTAAATATCACCATATTTAACTACACTTATACCCGTCTCCTGCACTTGCTGCTATTGCACTCCTGGTTAGACCTAAACTGCATTTCGTTGACTTGTACATGTGTAATGACAATAAAGTCGAATCTAATCTAATCCAATCTAATCTTTACGTTAGATTAACAATACAGCCATAGTGTCAGCTGCAGCAGATTGATTTTATAGCACAAGTTTAAACTTTGAAACCTTTATGGCAATCAAATACATTAAAAATAAATACAGGCCACAACTGAACATTCAGAATGATCTCCAAATGGTCTCCAAACTTAAACAAAGAATAGATTTGTGCTGAAAGCATTGTGTCTACCAGTCTCATAAGTTGAGGTAAATATAAAATTAAACAAATTAATTAAATGACTATTAAAATTAATTATTAATTATAACCACCTTCAAGGAATTTGGGGGTCATGAGTCACTGGCATTGTTATTTAAGTGGTTGCGGGCTGAAAAATTTGGTATGCTGGCATGGGTATGACTTAGTTGTATTCTATTAAGGGATTTTACGTCAATATAATTTAAATGAAAACTGTAATCCAAAATGATTAATATCATACTTAACAGGGTCTTTTGAAACGCAATATTTACCACAGGGTGGCTGAAGGGGTAGGACTGTACAATTAGCAGTTTTCACAGTATGAAAAACATTACATCTATGGTGTGTCCCTGTAAATCATGTATACAAGTATGTGTGTGTGTGAAAAAGTTCAAATGTTGATAAAGATCTTTAGACAATTTTTAGTTTTCAGTTAAATCTAAGGGACATTTGGAACCAATCAAATGTATTTGTTTTGTTTTTAAACTAACATCTTTAATCTGCAAACAGACAGAAAATGTTAAAAAAAAATTTAATTATGGCTTTTACATTGTTACACAACATTCACACCAAATAAATGCTCTGAGCTCTGTATTTAAAGACTCCTGAAAAACATGAATCACACATCACTTTCAACTTTGATACTAATGTTAAATATTTCTTAAGCATCAAATCAATCTGTAACACTTGGGATAGAGTAATAACCACAAATTAAAGAAAAATTAGCTTTGCAATAAAAGGAATACATTTTATTTAAAATACATTAAAAAAATATTGTTTTAAATATTAACATACATCATTTTACTATGATATATACGGCGATTACATTGTTATTTTATTTAGCACATTATTGTTTTTCATTTACAAAATGCTACCAACTCTAAAATTGTAGTAAAATATCTAATTTAAATATAAATTAATACATTATGTGATGAGTTCATATTCAAAGAAGAAGTATTTTCTATTGTTAGCATAAAAGTAGTGCAATTTGTTATAATAATAAAAAAAACTAAATATTGCATTCAATGGCTCCCTCTACTGTTACAACCTGGCTATACAATACAAGCAAAAAACCCTCATGCTCAAACTTCCACAAATGCTGTCTGGTTGCATCCAAACCAAAATAATATTAATAAAACAAAAAAAACAATATTAATCTGCAAAGTCACAAATGATTTCAGTATACTTACATCTATCTCTCCCTCATCGATCTCTCCATCATCCTCTTCTTTCTTTTTATCACGGAACGAATCTCTCCTCCCTCCTTCCCTCGAGTCCTCAGATTTTCTCAGGGGTGTGTCTCTGTTATCCGGAGGCAGAATGGGTTTCCTTTCCTTCCTCTTGCGCCTCTTTTCCTCCTCTTCGTCCTCCTCCTCTTCATCTTCTCCATCCTCCCCTACAGCAGGCTTCTCTGGCTCGTCTTCCTCAGGAGCAGCAGCGCTCGGCTCCTCTGGAACCTCTTCATCATAATCCAGCTCGTGTTCATCCAGATCTCTGGACACAGAAGACTCATCCTTCAGATCGCTCACAACCATCGCCGCTCTCCTCCGCCGCCTTCTCTCCTCTTCCTCATCCTCCTCTTCCTCAAGCTCTGCCTGGCCAAGGCCGGATTTGGTTGTCGTCTCATCTTCTTCCTCTTCCTCATCATTATCATCTCCTCGCTCTTCCTCTGCTGGAGTAAATGGTCGCTCATGTTCTGCCGCTGGCGAAACAGGATCTGGAGATCTTGGCGTCTCTAGGATTTCCTCCTCAGGAGACTTGATAGCATTCTGTGCGCTTTCTTGAACCCTCAAAGCACCCTCTTGTTGGTGGATGTCTTCTCTCTCCTCCCGGTCCAACTTGTAATCTTCCACATCCGAAAGCTCCTCTGGATCTTCTCGGCCAGCAGGCAGCCTGTCTCTGTCCTCAGAGTCTGAGTCTCCTCCATGCTCCGGGACTTCATTTTCATCGTCATTCAAGAGCTCACTGTCTGATACTCCCTTGTCTGCTTCTGCTGGGGACTCAGGCGACTCCAGCAGCTCATTGTCAGAGAGACCCTTCTCCTCCTCCTCGGGAGACTGCGGGGACTGGGTCGGGCTCTCAGGTGTATCCATTAGCAAGAACTCTGAAAAGGATATTCAACAACAGACAGAGTTTGTTTGTTTTAAAAATAAAAAAAAGATGAAAAACATGTAACATTTAAAACAGTTTAACTTTGCCACTCACAAAAATTCATAATAAAAAACACATACTAAAATTTGGAATGACAAAATGTTTAATTAAATTAAAAACGAGTCACTGTTAAACAGCTAACATTATTTATAATCAAAAAACAATTACAAATATTTATTTTTGATCAAATATTTAAAAGCTTCAAGATAGCATTAAAATATATTTAAGAAAAACACAAAATATTAAGATACAAAACAATTTTGGTTAATATCTTAGATACTAAACTGACAGTTAAAATACTAGTTTGCAGCATAAATAATACCTACTGTTGCACATGTGTAAAATAAATCTAAACAATACAATGAAATGTCTCTTAACTTCATTTAGTAAATATTTTTTTATATTGTCTAGTAGTTCTTCTAATTGTTATATATATATATATAGTGCTCAGCATAAGGTACAGCCCATTTTGAAAATTAATATTTTCATCCATTTCTCAGTGAATTTAGGCAATTTATTTTGGTGCATTTGAACAAAACAGATTTATTCAACAGATAATTTAATAAAATAATATTTTAGTTACCAAACATATTTAGAAATTGAAAGAGAATACAATAAATCCATGCTAAATATTGCAAAAACACTTTACAACTAAATTAAAAACAAAATTTTTTTGCACAACCAACACACACACTTAAAAATTAAAGCTATTTTATTATATTTAAAGTAGGGCTGCATGATATGGAAAAAATCTGAAATTTGACATTTTCAATTTCCTGCCATATATATTGCGATATTCATATAATTTCAGCAGATGACTTGAATACCACTTTATGGAATTAAATCATTCATTTAGATTGATTGGGATAATCTTGTGGCAGAGTGAATCAAACAAATTGCAAGCATAAATAAGATAAGATTTTGTAAAGACAAAAGTGAAATATGCAGATTTCCAGAGAATCAAACAGTAGTCAAATATTTAGGTACAGTAATTAAATTATTAAATGCAATGTAAAATAATACAAGTCTTCATTGCTGATCAATCATAATCCCAAATTATTGCAGATACTGCGATGTGACAACTGCAAATGCACACAATGCGATATTGATACTGAAATGATATATTGAGCAGCCCTAATCTAAAAGAAATCAAACATATATTTTGAATACGTATTTACATATAATGCACTAATATTAGTTTATCATATTTAAAAACAACTAAGTTCATTATCAAAAATGACATTAAACTAACACTAATATCAAAATCAATAACAAAAATAAGGGAGTCGAAGCTTAAATACTCTGTAGGGTTGACATGACACTAAACAAAGCATTAAAACATATATTTCTATTGTTAACATTTAGAAACTAAGAAAAAAATGTAGATTTTGTAAACAGAAAAAAATACATACCAAAAATTAAGAATGACACAACATTTAAAAAAAATAAATTAAAAAATAGTTAAATGGCTAACACTATTTATAAACAAAACAATTACACATATTTGTATGTGATTGCATATTCAGAAACCAACATAAAATTTAGTATATTTCTAAAAAGCTCAGAAAAATACAAAATAACTGAGGTCAAGTTATCTTTTAGACACCAAACTGACAATCAAAACACTTAAGAGTTTAAATTTGAATGAGGGTTGTGGCTAATACAAAGCTAACAGTTTCATCATTGTCACAACAACTTGAAATGAAGTGAAATAACGTTACAGCCAATATGACAATTGTATATAAATAGTCTTGCAAATAGACAATATTAAACGAGTTATTTACGTTCTTACCAGTTCTGCCACAACAACACACCTGCATTAGCCTGCTAGCGTAAAATAGCATAACCGCAATCAAAAGTTGCCATACCACACAAAGGCCAATCATTAAATTATCTGGAACTTGTTTACCTTCAGATTTAAGGCAATGGATTGGTGAGAGGGAGACAGACACACGTCTTACTAGCCGCTTTATCTTTAACGGGAGAGTTCGTTGATGGCGGTGCGGCTAACAGGCCCAAATCCTGCCCGCACACTAGAAAACGACACCATTTCCCACCTTTCCGACCGATCGCGCCGCTTAAACGTCAATAATAGCACTTAAATAACACGTACTTTACTTTCTAGGTCTAAATGCGTGAATTGCGCCACTGAACGACGTTTCTTCGGTGCACACGGGCTAAAATTGCATGCAACAATAAAGCGCTCCCTCCTGCACAACACACGGACATCGCGAATTAAAACACATTCGGTCACCTTTCAAAGCACTGAGTCTCGGGAGACTGGGGTCTTAGTGTTGGGAGTCACCCGGTCTCTCTCCTTGGGGTGACTGTGCTCAAACAATGTACGATCTGCTCGGGATTCTTATTTTTCTCTACCGGAAAAATGCATAAACCCTGCACGACACAGTGAGAGCGGCCATTACCCAGACGTCATCACATCGCGACCACATGATTTTTTTTACGTGAAGAAAGTAAGATGTTATTAAATTATTATGCCGAAATAATTAAATAGCCATATGTTGAATCCTGTAGAATACATAAAAAATACCGAGTAATATATTCATAATTTGAAAGAAATAATGAGGTCATACACAAAAGAGCAAAAATTATAGGCCTACTGGTATCTTTAAGTTAACTTAACCTTTTCCTTAACTTATAAACATGTGATTTTGGGTTTTTATGTTAAGGATCGCTCTTTAAAAGATGCTGGTTTTATTATAAATTTAATTTTATTATTATGTAAATTTCACATACATAAATCCAAGTTTTCCAAAAGCAAACCTCTCTTCATGGTGTTAGAAAAAGAGATTCAAATGTATATAAAAGTGATTTCCAAGTCTCAAAATAGAAAAGCAATTAAAACAATTAATATATGCTCCTCCTTTAACATTTTTACATAAAATGTTTGTATATATGTATTTCCTGTAAAAAAAAAATAAATAAAAAGTGCATTACTAACTCTTGTAAATAACTAAAATTATAAATTGTGCGAAACATATTTGTATGTAATTTGATAATTATGTACCCTCTCCTTTGTTTTTTTTCTTTTTTTCTTCTTTTTTTTCTCTTCTTTGTTTTTTTCACTTATTTCATTCTTGTTAAGAAATGTAAAGTGATTGTATTGTATAACAAAACAACTGTAACTGTACATGCTGGTTCTTGTTAATAAAAAAAAAAAATAATAAAATCTTTAAGTTAACTTTCATCTGTCAATTAAAGTTAGTTTAATTGAAAAAAAAAATATTTATTGTTATTATTATTATTATTATTATTCAGACAAATAATACACTTAATAGGCCTACCTATCAACACTTATACAATTAACAGGTTTATTTACAGCTTTTCTCATTAGCTAAAACACAATTTCTGAGCTCTTGCTCCATTTTCGTACACTTTTACAGTTTTTTTACAATTGCTATGACAGTTTTTTCAATACATTTAACAAGTTTCTTAAACTCTTAGCACGGTTCGCACAACATCCATCTTTGTGTGCTATACAATTAACACATTTCTTGTTGCTTTGATACAAAATGCATCCAGTTAACACCAATTTGAAATGCTTGAACTTCTTTTACACAAAAGCTCAACCAAGACCAAAACAAAATAAAGTCACAGTCAAATTTACAAATGCTTTCACACATGCAGTGTGTACAGTTATGTTCTAAACACAACTTATATGGGCCAAAGTCAAAGTGAACAGCTGTTCATATTGTGAATTGAAACACAAATATATTCCCTGTATTTTATTCCATGGCCAATGAGAAACAGCTTATTGCTGTTGTGTAAATACATAAATCACAGCCGATTCCTAGTTATGTACCACACTCAGGTTTTTCCAATCACATAATCTAAAAATGGACTCTTTGGGCTGATCTTGTGTGGAAAAGGAACAACAAGAGAATTCTTCCCATGATGCCTTGCCAGAGAAGATATCAGGTGGGATGTGCATGAGAAGGTGGCCAAATGCAGAAGATTAATTTTGTATAATTATTGCGGTGCTTTTTCTGTTTGTATATCATGCAGTAATGTATTGTATTGAATTTCTACAGCAAAAGAAACATAATGCATTTAATCAACCCAACAAAACAAAAGTGTAGAGAGGGTTTACAGTTTTTCTTGTTTGCTTTGACCTGGTTAAAGAAACTAGGTTCCACTTTTTTTTTCATTTTCACTATCCCAGCAGAGCAAAAGACCGGTCTTGCAAATGTGTAAACTCTTTCTCATTGGGTTGACACATTTTCCCCACCATTTTTCAAAACAGCTAACACGGATGTCATTCAAGCAGTCCAAACTCCATTGTTTTAGTTATGGTATCCAAACAGAAACCATCTATTCCTAACTATTAGACACTACCAAGATCAGTATGAATTCAGTGAAGCACCGGTTTGACACTACTTCACACAAATCTTCAAAAAGCAATCAGTCTGCAAACCTTATAAAACGGTGGAAGGTCTGTGTTATTCTGTGACAGCATGGATGGAGGAGGTCAATAGTGGCTATGTCTTATACTCACAATAGATTTGACTGTATATTGGTTTACATGTGTTTTCTCTAATATTTACAGTATTTTATTACTTTTGTCTGTTTTTACAGTATTTCAGTTTTCAGCCACAGTTTAAAATTGTCATGAATTCAATATAAATGTAATCAAAGCACATCTTATTCTGGATTCAATTCTTTGCAAAAAGGCAAATTTGACAGCCCAAATAGAAAGACAACAAATGACATTGGCAATAGGCTACAATGACAAGCAATGGTGGTGCACTGAGTTCTGTATTTTGTATTTTGTTGTCCATTGTGTAATGATTAATTGAAAGAGCTCATATACTTGTTTGCAAGTTGTGTTGTTTGAAGGTAAAACTAGCTTTTGTTGCATATTTTAAATGTTTTGACACGGTATGTGCCTTTTGCAAGCAAAATGTGTCATTTTGACCATGAGTGC